ATCTCCTTGACAAGATCTCCACACTCTTTCTTCCAACTGTACATCTCATTATAATGTTACTGCAGTAAATCAGCCTCTTCAAGCCATACTTTCCTACCCTTGTCCCTAACCTTCCTAATTGCCTTGGACCACTCACTGACATCCTCTGATACCACAATGGATGATGAACCACTCATGACATGTGTCACAGCTTCACCCAGTCCAGATGCACCCTGTACTAGGATAGGAAGGCCGGATGACAAGGCTGCAAGACCAAACATTCCAAATTCTTGTTCACCTGAGGGCATGATGGCAAGATCTGCTTCAAAGAGCCACCTTTTCAGCTCTTCTTCATCTTTTGGAGGGCTACAAATGATCACCTGATGTTTGGGCACACCACATTCATGAAATTTCTCAAGAAATCCTTTTTGTTCTCCTAATTAGCAGCACCAACAGAAATAATCTCATAGGATCCATCCTTCAACCCAGCAACTGCTTTAGCAACAATTTCAAGTTTTTCTTTGTAAAAATACCTGAGGTGATCATGTCCTGTAACCAGGATACAAAACTTTTTCCTATCACCTGGTTTACGTGTGACATTAGCAAATTCACGGAGTATAACTGGAGTTAACTTAAAAACTTCTTCCTTCTGACAAGAGAGGGAAAGAGGGAAACAGAAAGTCTGTCAGCCATCTTTGGTCCAACAGCAACTGGAAGATCAGCCATTTCCATGGTAGGCTGAACATTGCTCCTTCCTTGGCATACATCTTCCATCTCAGCCAGGATATCTCTTAGTTCGCTGTCTCTAGAGAGGCCTTCTACAAAGGAATCGCAACCAACAAAAATACTTTAAATTTGCAGTGGTGAAGTTTCTTACATATTTGTGCCATTTCGCAAAGTCTCTCACTTACACCAATTACAATGTCTGTAGTGAGGCCTTTTGGTGGAAATTAAAGCCAGTCATTGGAATGTTCCAATCCAGGTTGCTTTTTTGCTTCAACAATGGTAACATCACAACTTTCCGCACCTCTCTTGTGAAGTTCATCACATGAACCTTCAGGGACCAGGAGAGAGACTTTCATATGAGGGAATTTTGCAAATTGTGTGGACAACTCTGTTGTGAGGATTTATTCGTTTCCCCAAAATCTCAACCTGCACCCCCGTTCATTTGCCATGATGGTAACTCCAACTGGATTGCTGGACGACCAACTTCCATGACATGGCACCTGATTAATTACTTGTTGGACATAATTCTCTGCTTGGATACATTGACTCTGAAAAAGAGGGAAAAATATGTTTTAAAAGTGATAATTATTACTGTTACTGACTGGAAGATCTCTCCACTGTTTGTAAATGTATAAGCATTGTGCCTTTCGTTTAAGTTTAACACTTTACATTGTGTTATTTATGGCTAAAAATCATGCCATGATGTCACTTGGTAAAAGTACATCGGAATTTACCCGGCTTTTACCAGTATGCACTGACATGCCAAATTTTTTCTTTCAGAATTTCCCAGATTAAAACATAGATTCTGGTTTGCTAATTGTTGGACAAAACTTTCTGCACAAACTCTGCTACCACAAAAGGGAAATATGTTTCAAAACTGATGACAAGTCAGCCTGAGAGATTTCTTTCATGTTTGCATATGTAAATGCACATATATTTAACAATCATGTAAGCACATTCTAAAATCAATCCACTTCAGCTCTTAACGGTAAAACATACGTCTACATGTAAATGACATCATGGAGCATTAAAATCTCATTTTCTTTCATACAATCATGTATATCCCAAAAGAGTTATACTTCTGCAGGGACATTAAGTCACTTGTTACTTCCTAATTTATGTTTTTCAATCAGTTTTAAAGATTGCTTAAAATCATTACACATTTCATAGTTTCCATTAGATTGTTCGTTACCGCATTTAAAACTTTGAGATTTTGCCATAGAGGATTGAAAAAAATACAATAAATGGTAAAATTATGTAACCATTTAACTTACCTCCTCAAGCTGCGTACAGAGCCTGTGCTGAAATGCAATCAAACCAAACTTAGTTGTCACTTTGCTATACTTTAATCAAACTTCATCACAGAGAAATAGGAAGCCACTTTGCTTCTCGCCACAGAGGTAAATATTATTGTAATCACATGCAAGGTAGCCAATCAGCATGGCATGTGTGAAAGCACTTAGTCTACTTATTTTACGTGAAGTAAATTACACGTATTACGCTATACCCTTAACCTCTTACGGAAAATACGAGATGCAGCTTCTCTTTTAAGGCCCGAAAAATAACTTCTGCACACATTATTGAAAATCTTTCAAGAATACTCTAAATCATTAGTCTCTGATAACAATATGTAGTACGACAGTTCGTTCAAGATTCCAAGGTCTTGCCTGAGACCTTCAAGTCCGTTTTCGAAAACGGTGTCTTATGGATCAGTAAGAATTTCAGCTTTAATACTGCCAAGACCTCACATCATTTTCGCTACGAAATGAATCTCAAACGAATACGGTCGCACAACGCTGGAGAAACGGTTAGTGGTGCTGGTCAAGAAATCTAAACTAAGTGATATCCCAAAATTTCAAAATTTTGTTACATACTTCGGATAATGAATCATCCAGCCGAAGAAATTTAGGGGGACTGCACTCCTTCTCGCTCATATTTTCCAAACTCATCCGATTGATCTATCTTTACATGTGGCTCTCAAAGACATCCCTTTATCACTATGATTAGCTGCCCTCTCTCGATTCTGTGGTTCTTCCGTCGGTTCACCTGAGGTTTGCAAATCTTCTTCACACTGATATTCAAGCAGCAGTCTAATCTGGTTTGTTTTGGAAACCACTTTTCATTTACGTCCTCTTCCAGCCTCGATCCCAGGAAAGGCTCCAAGCTTCCAAAAGTTTCACCTGAGCTAAAATCCTTGTAAACATAATGGTTGGATTAGACTACATCACTGATCTAAAAAGCGGTGGTAAAAGAAGACGCCATTGACAAAATGAATGAGATTAATTTGGTCTCAACAAATATTCGAAACATGTCATGCGCTAAGACGAGAAAACAAGCGGAAACGAACTGAAAAATATGATAAGTTTTGACAGTCTTTGCCATAACCCAGTCCTGCAGTAGACTGTACTAAGAACGTTTCCCTGCAAGGGCTGCATGTCAATAGCTCGCCTTCGAAACAAGAAACATAAAATCAGGAGTATGTAACCTAAATATATTATAAGCTTCTTGTCAAATTGATGGTTCCTAGTAAAACACCATTTCTGTCATATCAGTGCCCAGTATAACGTCCCATTTTGCTGAAATTTTTACTTTATCATTCACAGAAACTTTACGTAAGATCTAGCTCAAGTGAACAACTCGTATCATAGTGGAGCCAGCCGCAAAAGATTGGTTCCTAGCCCCGACTCTCACGGCATTCGCTTCGCTGAACGGCAGACCAGTCGTCAAATTGTGAACGTTGATGAAATCGCTTTTAGAAATACAACCGAAGAGCAGCTTTGCTAAGATTAAAAAAACTCGTCTTCATGGAATCGACGATACCAAAGATGTATTAAGTAGGTTATCAAAGGGCGTTTAATTATACGCAGTTTCATGCTTTAAGAACAGCAAATCAAATCAGTTATTTTAATTAAAGGTGCTCATGGACTTGGTGATTGACCTAACTATTGTCCGACTTAATCGTTCATAAAAGTTTATAACAACAGCTACTCAACTGAACTGCTTTGTATAATACAAACTGATATCGGTTACTAAAGGTCAATTCCTGGGTGGCGTAATTAAAATTGCTTTTGTCAGTCACGAATCATATCAGTCTCCTGCATAAATTTGCAGACATTACGCCGGCCACATGTCACGCGACATCGCCTCAACCGATGCTAAACGAAGATGGCGTCCGTCGAGACAATCTCGGCTTCTGGAGAAATTTCTCCTCGTTTCGAAAAACTTCTTCGAGGAGTGTCCGATGAACTCAGCCCCGAAGAACTAAGGCATGCCGTATCGTCCATAAAAACTAATTTTAGTGGCAAGTTTGAGGATCAAGGAGAACAAGATTTGTACTCATGCCTCCAATTATTAGCTAAGCATGGTCTTGTATCGGAGGACAATCTGACTTTGTTGGAGGGGTTTCTAAGCCCAAAAGCGTCCAAGAAAAAGTCGCTAAAGGAGAAAATTCAACAATTTAAGGAAAGCCGCCAACTAGAGGTTAGCCCTGGAAAAGAAGAATCAGGTTTGACCGGCAGGGAACGTGACTTAGAGAAAGTTATGTCAATGTTGATAACTGGAAGTTCGCGTGTTGTCAATTTGCATGGAATAAGTGGAGTAGGCAAGACGAAATTGGCGATGGAAATTGTTTCAAAGTGGCCAGGAAGGAAATTCAAGGCTGATTTTAGAGAAATCACGGAAATGAAAGACGTTCATTTTCATGTTTTAAACGCTTTAGCACCAGACAAAACGATCATAAGCTTCGAAGCAAATCCAGTAGTTGAATTAATGAAACAGTTAAGGCAAGCAGAGCAACACAGTGACATATTACTGCTCCTTGATAACGTCGATAAATTTGCAGGAGGAGATGACGAAGCTTCCACCTCCCTTAATGCCAATTTTGTTATGTTTCTGCAAGGACTTCTAGGTCCAAAGGATTATCCGGGGAAATCGAAATTGAAGATTTTGTTGACATCAAGATCAACACTTCGTCACGCAAAGTTAACCAACGTCGATAATTACGAAGTTATGGCCTTAGAGAAAGCTTCATCTAGTGCTCTATTCCAAAATCAGAGAATTGGCAGTGTTCAAGAGGGTCAAATGGAGAAACTGTTGGAGATGTGCCAAGGGAATCCCCTTATCATTAAGGGAATGGCAGCTATCTTGAGACAACAAATAGCCGATGACACCACGATTCTGGAAACTATTGAGCAGCCACCAGCGGCCGAGCCACCAGAATCGGGAATACCAGCAGCAGAGGAGAGTCGAGAGAGAGACGTATTTGACTCTGAAAAGGAAGGCATTGATAAAGAGCAAGAAAGCTGTTTAAGAAAAATGTTTTTCTTCTTGCCGAGTAAACAGTTAAAAGATTCTGCTATTTCGATGTCACTGTTCTGTCGCTCTTTCTCTGTCGAAGCAGCAGCCGAAGTCCTTGAAGTGGACTCGTCAGAAGCTGTTATACAACTAGAAGGCCTCAGGAATAGTGAAGTGCTAACGTTAGACCCTGACGTGAAAGAACTCACCTATGACATCCACCCTTTGGTGCGAACATTTCTGAGAAGCATTGGTAGTAACCAAAAAATGTTCGTCAAAGTTTACGAGAAGGCAAAAGGCAGATTTCATACATATTTCATGTCCAAAATGGTAGACATTTCAAGGCTTTTGGACAAAGACTACATGAATGCCTTCGATCATTTTGATCTTGACAAACCAAACTTTGAACTTGCTTTGGATATTTCTTTCAAGTCAGACAATCTTCTTATCCCAAAAGAGCATCGTGAAAGTGTTATGATCTTTTATCTCTTCGAGGCCATGCTTGACGAAAAAGCAAGAAAGAACATTTTTAATTGCTGGGCCGAAAAGGTCGAGGAAGATGGAAAGGAAGGTAAAGTTGTATCATTTACTAAAAAAAAGTCTTAGTTTACGTGGGGGGTTTTTCTAGAGACTTTGGTAGTGTAATTAGCCGTCGACCTGATGGAAAAACTAACAGATAAAACTGACTAAACTCGACTGACAAAAAAAATTTACTTGACTCTAGCTGACTTTAGCTCAGGTTGTCGAAACTTCAGACACCACTGCCGACAACAGTCCTTGTTAGGACTTCACTCACCCGAACGATTAGACTACACGATCGAGGGTACTTAGTGTAATCTTATTCTTTCGGTAAGGAGCTTATAATCCTCTCATTTTGCTCGAATCTGTCTGAACTATCCCAAAGAATCTTTCACGGTAAAGTTATACAGGGTATAAGAACTAAGATTCAGTATGTTTTTTCTCAGTTTTGTTAACGAAGCTCGACAAGGTCGTTTGTCGCAATATGCGCATCTTTTTATCTTGCAAAAGGTAACTTCCCGAACTGGGTCAAGATGCATCCGTACCCAGACTTTCCTTAAACATTGCTTAAGTTTACCATCATTGACATTCTAATGAGAAATAAAAATGCTCTCTGGTTAAAAACGTGCACAAAACTTAGAGGGAGAGAAAAGCTTTTTTCCCTTGTTGTCTTTCTAGGTTCCTTGCTTCGAGCAGAACTAAAATGCCGCGAAACTTTGACGGTTCTTAACCTTGAAGGATGGCAGAGAGCATTGACAGTCGCGAGGAGAGCAAAAGAGTCGCTTAGCAAAGTGCAGAGGGAAAGTAAGAGCACAGATTCATTTAAGTTGACCAAGAGTTCCTACCTGTACGCTAAGGGTGAAGTGTATCACAGAGCAGGAAATATGGCAAAGTCACTGAGGATTTTGCACAAGGCGCTGAAGATAATGGAAAATGAACTTCAAGGCCACACAAGCACTTCAAGGTGCTTAAACGCCATTGGAAACTGTCACAACAAGCTAGGAGAACATGACAAAGCCATAAATTACTACACGAGAGCATACGATATGAGACAGCAGCTCTCTGGCTCAATGAAACATTTTGACATGCCCTTCTTCAAAGGACAGATCGGAACGGTTTATGAAGGAAAGAAACAATTTGAAAAGGCAATCGAATACTACAAAGAGGCCTTAGAGCTCGCTAAGGAACTAAAAATCCCAGGCATGGTGAACACTGCGCTGTACAATCGAAACATTGCTAACGCGTACTGTTGGTTGAGAAACTTTGACGACGCCTACCAACCGGCGAAGAACGGTTACGAGATCCGGAAGGTCGTTTTGGGAAGGCACCCTTGGACTGCACGAAGTGCTTTCCAAATGGGGGAGATTTGTCGAAGCTTGGAGGACTTTGACGAAGCGGAAGATTTTTATGAGCAAGCATGGGAGATTGAGAAGTCTCTGGGCCAAGGAAACCACAGCGAGGTCATGG